TGTACATATGGGGATTTGTTAGGACTTTCATAGGTAATGAGGTATTATGGTGGATGTAGTAAGAAAGGTAAGTAAGAATGCGTTGTTTTGGTGTTAGGAATATTGTAGTATGTTTGTGTCAGTGTTTGTGGCTACCTAAGTTTAATTTTAAGACAGATGAAGACCGTCCTTTTCCCTATTCCCCCTCTTGGAATCATGCCACATTTTGTATAATCATGCAAATAAATATCACTTCCCTCGTTGGGGTTATTTTTTAAATTGTTATGTATAGTCCCACCTCCAACAGACAAATTGTACATATGGGGACTAGTTAGGATTTCATAGAGACTCTGAGGTATTGTGGTAACTGTAGTAAGAATGTGTTGTTTTGGTGTAAGGAATACTGTGGTATGTTTGGGTCAATGATTGTGCTTAGCTAAATTTAATTATATGAGAGCCTTTCCCATCTCCCTACTGGCTTTGTGCCACATTTTTTGTATTGAACAAAAATACATATTGCATTCCTCGTTGGTACCTCTACCGCATGAATGTAAGTGTAGTACTAGATTGGCAACTCGGTATCAAATTTTACTGTTTAAAATAACTCGATGTAACCGTAAGTTCTATTCTAACAGTTTCTTCTCTCACACTTCTCACCTGTGGAACTCCCTCCTGGTTTAATGCTTTGCTGTAAACTACAATCTTCAAAAGTTTAAATTCAATGTCAATCGCTATATTCTTTCTTGAATCCTATTCTTTTAATATCCTTTCACCTACTAACGTTTTCTCATATTCCTTCACACCCAGTAAAAGCCCTTGCGTCTTAGTGGCATTACGCCTTGCTTAGGGGAAATGGTTAAAGAAAATATTAACGCCTGTTGACTTTGTATCAAGCTAAGCTAAGCTTTGTAAATTAACAACCAACAGACATATTCCATATTTCTATCTATTTTCCATGTTTGATACATAGATAGATAGATAGATAGATAGATAGATAGATAGATAGATAGATAGATGGCAAAAATGGGCTATGGCTGAACTTCTATTGTCCTTTCTCCTTACTAAAGTCTTTTCTTTCATCCTTTGTGTCATTACCGCCTTGTTTAAGGTGAAATGAATAAAAAGATATAGATTTTAGTTTTCTAAATATATATTGATTGATATGAACAGTCTGAGATAGATAGATAGATAGATAGATAGATAGATAGATAGATAGATAGATAGGTTTTAGTCTTCTGAATCCATATTCATTCACACACACAGAGACAATATTATGGGTCCTTTCATTAATGATGTTCCAGTTTTATTCACACTTCTTCGCTGTCTTCTGAACCACAGTAGAGGTATATTTATTGTTTCCTGTTTAGAAATGTGTTTCCCGCTCCTCCTCGTAAACAATTGCGTCTTAGCGCTATTATCGCCTTACTTGGGAGGGGGGGAATACAACAACGCATCTTCTAAACTATAAAGCTGTTCGTTAGAACAGCTTTATAGTTTAGAAGATGCGTTGTTCAACACATAGATATATATCTACACTAATGCTCCTTCTTTCCAATCTGTAATCTGTATTCTCTTTCTAAATGTGTGTAGATATGGATTACAATGGTATGGAATTGGAATAGTGAGCCACCCACTGAGAATACTTCTTTTAAAATCTGTTACTCGTCAATCTGCTACTCAACGAGGCATCCAACATTAACTAAGCTTAAATTAGTTTGACACAAGGTCACTTGTTCTGAAAACCCAGTGAGGATCGAGATAAATTTATAGTGGCTTACGGGACTAGTTTGTTAGCTAATACATTACTGGTAGGCTTGTGCTTGTGTAAATATCGGTTACTGCGAGTGGGAAGCAAATTTAGCGCATGCTCCATTGTTACTTTTGAAGTACTTTAAGCAAAAACTCCCCACATATTTCTAATTAAATTTTGCCAGAATTCTCAGGAAAATATTTGACAATAACACAATATCGCTTTCTTGTCAATTAAATCATGGAAGTGAATTTATAAACAATAATTAACTGATAATTGGATTCATAATTCCTAAATTCTCATGAAAATATTTTAAAATTCTTAAAGAACAAACGAGAAGAATATAATAACAATAAATTTTACAGCCATCTGTAATTTATAAATTTCATGTTTATATATTTACCTCTTTCAAATGAATGCATACAATGCAGCGTTTTTGTCTCATTATAATTATTCAGATAACGCCTGGTTCACACTCCAGCACAGTTTTTTTTAACACTAGAGGTTTATCAATTGTTTAGGATTGGATTTCCGGTTCCTTCTAAAGTCTACTTCCGCTTTATACTTCTAACGTCTCCGACTGAACATTAGAATTTTATTTACTAGGTATTTACTCTGTCTCCCCGCTAAGACGAGTTGTGACACAAGGTCTTTTTTAAGGCAGGGACCCGAGTGCGTACACCCGGGCTAGGAACAAAAATTACCCGCAGCACCCGCAACCATCGGTTGCGCTGGCATCGGTGCGAGCACCGATTCTTCTCTCTGGTGCAATGAGAAGGCGCGGACTCAGGCTGCTGTTTCCCAAGGTTGGGCACCTCCCAGTATAATTTTTCTTAGTTGCGACTCTGTCCTTTGACGGAACTGCCCCTGAGTTCACTCTGCCCAAAAACAGAGACGCAAATGAGAGATGATAAATATTTACTATTTATTTATTTTTTTCTTAATAGGAGTAGAGATATGCATCTATCGTCCGGTTCACAGATCACCTGTTATTCACTTATTAAATCGTGACCTCTTCAAATCTACTGTTACGTTTTATCTTTCCGGTGCACCCCCAAGAACTTCCCTCCTTGTCCATTCTTACGCTCATTTAACTCCACGCAGTAACTCTCTACCGTAAGTGACTCTGGTGCCTTTTAATGGGACGACATTAGTAACAAGAAAATTTTTAAAATATTGAATGACCATATTAAAAATATGCATATCAGGAGACATGCATTCAATTAATGCTTGCTCAATGTATGGATAGGTTTATATGAACTGTCTGAGCTAAATAGTGATTTTCCAAACGTAACTTAGATGTGGCACAAGGCCGAACAGTCTGAGCTAGACAGATAGATAGTAGGTACTTTTTCGCTAAAAAATAGCATAGCGTGATGAAAAAAGGCCCCAAAACTTAATGAAAACAAAGTTTTATCGTCAAATAGTTTATGTTTATTATTAAGAGGAAAGACGAAGGTATTTTTCATTAAATTTTTTAATCCTTTCTAGCACGTTCGAAATTTTGGTTAAAAATCTTTTCTTTTTTTTTTACGTCTGCATTCGAAGTAATATTTATGATTAGTGCTTTAGCGCCTTTTTATCCGGTGGAAATCACATTGATTTAGAAATTCTTGCAAAAGGCAAATAATTGTCGGATTTTAATGAAACTTTTTCAGGCTTTATTCACAAATGGTTAAAAATTATTTCTGAATATTTTTTTTTTTAAATCTTGGTAAAAAATATTTTATTTTTACAAATGTTAACCTCGCCCACTTACTTAATTTCATGAAATTTTGAGAAATTAAACGAAATGTTTTTTATTAAATAAAAGCAGGACTCCTTGGAGAATGTAACTCAATTTTTTTTTCAAACTGTTACGCATTTCCCGAAAATCTACCCCGAATCCTAAAATTAAAAAATGCAATAAAACTATGAGATTATTTAATTAAAAAAAGCTTTTAATTGCTTTTATAAATAAAATTTATTAAGGACATTATTAGAAAAAGATTTTTTTCGACGAATAATGAATTTTTACAAGAATTGTTTTCATTTTTTTAAATTTTAATTATAATAATTTCTTTTAAATCTTTTAAAATTCTACATTAGTTTAATCTCGTTATATGATAATTGTTATTAAGTGATATCTACATTTAATAATTAAAAATTGAAAAGCTTAATACAAATAAATTGGCACCAAAATTTTTTAAATAATTTTTAATTTTTTTATGTATTTAAAATATTACGTGACGTGCCATTTTTAAGTACGGTCGACCATACACGAAATTATCAGAAAATAAGAGCGATGACTATAAAAATGTTAAAGATAAGATGACAGAGAATATTTCCCATCATTTTAACAATCCATATTTCATCACTTCCTCAATTACGTAAAAAATGACGATGTCAGTTAAAAACACTGCTAATGTTTGTTTTTAAAAACACATTTCTTTGTTCTTTTAAAGTAAATAATATTTTTTTCAAATCAGATTCAGTATACTTTAAATCAGCTAATATTCTTTAAATAATGATTCAGAAAAGTATATTTTATTTTTGGAAGTTTTTAATAAAGATAATTACATTGCGATGAAATCAGTTATTTTAGAAAAAAAACAAAAGAAAATCGATACCAATCAATATAATTTTTGTTTGAAATACGCTAGAGTAATTTTTTTACTGGAAATAGTATATTTAATACTTCAGCTTTCAATTAAAGCTAAAATAAAATCTTCAAAAAAGTTTTTCGTTTATAGAAAATCATTTAAACCTTAGGTATCGTGAATTATTAGAGTTACCTACTATATAGATAGATAGATAGATAGATAGATAGATAGATAGATAGATAGATAGATATGAACAAGATGAAACAGATAGATAGATAGATAGATAGATAGATAGATAGATAGATAGATAGATAGATAGATAGATGTGTAACCGAGTGTATTAAAGTAGTCTTCTTTGATCTTTGTCCAACGAAAGTCACCGAGTATGAGAGAACATATGTATGTATGCATATATATTTCGTTGCATGTATATATCTATGCCGTCAGCCATATGTATGTACTGATATACCCACAACCCATACAATTTATAACGTGTGTACTTGTGTGCGTATATGCGTGAGAAAGTACATGCGAAATTGGGTGTGACGATTTGCATTAATGTGAGTGTTACTATTTGCCTATGTGTATGCTGTGTGGGTATGTGTGTGTTTGTCAGCGCGTCTGTGTGTGTGTGTGCGCGCGTGCGTGTATTCGTGCGTGTGTGTCGTATCATTGTATCGTGATGATGGATGAGACAAGAAAATGTCTCCAAACAAACGGCTCCCGCCTCACTTTCACTCTTCTCCGGCATGACTATCGACGAATGGCCCCACTTGCCTTCACCATCTTTGTCACAAGCTATTGTCCCCATCTGATCTGCTATAAAGTTGGCTCGGCGGGTTCCTTGTCCGGAGGAAAGAGTTCACTTCGCTAATTACGCATACTTCATGTAAACGAAGAGAGAATAAAGACCGAAACCCGATTGCCTTTCTTTCATCTATTCATAAGGTTTAAAAACCCGACTAGTCACCGCTTCCCACCCTCTCTGTAGATACATCTTATTTACTTCTTCCTTCTGTTTTTTCTTCTTTTTTTTTCTCTTTTTTTTCGTTTATTAATTTACCAGTTCCTTCATTCTGCCTTTTCTTGTCCCTTTCTTTTTCTTACCCTCACCCTTTTTTACTTGTTTCTTTTATAATTTTATTCATTCATTCATTCTTCCTTTCTGTCTAAATCAGCCTGTTCCTTCTCTCTCTCTCTCTCTCTCTCTCTCTCTCTCTCTCTATATATATATATATATATATATATATATATATATATATATTTGTTCCTATCTATCTAAAAAACAGACAGTTCATATGTATCTAACGCTATCTATCTCTCTATCACAGTTTGTTCCTATCTTCATATATACTCCGCATTTTTACATATTCATCTATCTATCTATCTATCTATATATATATATATATATATATATATATATATATATGTAAGTTTATTCCAATCTACCTTAATTTGTCCCTTTCTTTCTACCTACATATATATATATATATATATATATATATATATATATATATCCCCTCTTTCTCTCTCTCTCTCTCTCTATATATATATAGACATTAGTTTATACCTATCAATCTATCTTACTTTCTTCTTATCTATCTATATGTTCATATCTATATATCTATCTATCCATCTATATTAGTTTTTTCCTATCTATCTATCTATCTATCTATCTATCCTAATTTGTTCCTATCTCAGCTTGTTCATATCTATCGATTATCTTATCTTGTTCATATCTATCTATCTATCTATCTCAGTTTTTCCTGTTTTTCTATATACTCAGACTTTTCATCTCTCTCCCCCCCTTCCTCTCTATCTCTCTCTCTCTCTCTCTCCCTATATATATATATATATATATATATATATATATATATATATATTGTCATCCATATACACACTGTTTCACTGTATCATAGCTCATCAGTGTGGCTAGACGTTCGATTGCCCCTAGCTAGGATCAAAACCCGACTGAATTGGCGTCAGTCAGGGCTTCTAGCACTAAGCCGTTGCACGGCAGGAATGGAGGTGATTAGTTTATTCCTATCTATCGATCGATCGATCTATCTCAATGCGTTCCTATCCATCTTTCTCGGCCTTTCTTTCTTTTCCTTGTTTTTCTTCTTTTCCGTTTTCATTTTCTTTGTCATCTTATTTTCGTTTTCTTTTTGTTTTCAATATCCCTCCTTTCTTTCTTATTTTAATTATTATTTCATTCTTTCCTTTTTCTCTTTCCTTTCTCACCTTGTGTTTCCTTTCCTTTTCTTTCTCTTTTCTTTTTTTCTTTTTCTTTCTTTCAATAACTTTCCTTTCTTTTTTATTTTCATTATTATTTTCTCCATTCTCTTTCATTACTCACCTTCTTTTCTCTTCTTTTATCACTACTTTTCCTTCTTTTCTTTTTTTTTTTTTTCCTTTAATCAACACTCACGGATTTCTCTTGACGTCTTCTTCTTTATATCACAACATGGCTGTCTTGTCTCTGATGTACATAAATTATCGACGTCTCATTAAAGGACATAATATGCAACATTCATATTCATTAAAATTTCACTTTTCGGTTCACATTAATAAATTAACGTTCAATTCAGGAATGTTTCACTACGTATAGCCGCCTCTATAAATATGCATTTAAAGATTTTAGAACATTACTAGCAGCATGGCCCGGCGTTGCCCGTGCTTGATTAAAAAATCGTACGACTCATACAGCAATCACTTGACTTAAAATATTTTTGCCCTTCCTTGCCTTTAAAGGAGTGCCCTTTGCCGTGCTAATGTTGCTACATGCCTTACTTCTTGCCTATCTCACACTGAGAATTTTTTCTAAGCTCTATACTAAACATTAAATCTGTTACGAAAATAGAACTAAACAAAATGAACACAAAACGATCAGCTTTAAAAAACGACTCGTAACTGGAAAAATCGAATGAAAAAAGAATGTTAACAACAGATACTTTTTCACCACCAACCCAGTTCTGTGGAATCAGAATCAACGTTGAGTTTAAGCAAGAGAATGAGCTAATTGGAGTAAAGTGCCATAAATTTTTCCCACTTGTGACGAATGCAGCTATCGATATTTTTTTTTTTTTTTTTGCATGCTAGCATGCTAGTTAACATTCGTGTCAGTCAGCTGTTGTCTCTCACGCTGGCCAATAGAATCTTCCTGCCTATTTGTGGCAGCCAGCTATAGACTCTCACTCTGGCCAGTAGAAAATGGCCGCAAACTACATGAAAACTGCCGTAGAAGCATGAAAAAATCTTTTATTTCCACTATCGATGGGAGTTAGGAAATGTAAAGTCGGTCTTGTCCTTCTCGCTAACTTGGAGCACGTGCATGTAAATTTTGGTGCAAATCCGTCGAAAATTGCGACCGTGCAATCGTTACACACACACACACACACACACACACACACACACACACACACATCCTGCCTTTTATAGAGATAGCAACGTATAGCAAAAGGAACAGCACAACATGCAAATTACAAAATGGCGATACCGAAATCAAATAGGTGTATCAGTTTAGATGTCTGGGAATCGTATTAACAGAGGATGGAAAGTGCGACACCGAACTCCGAAATCCGGATAGCGAAAGATGCCTTCCAAAAGTTAAGCAAAGTATTAAGAAACATAAAAATATCATTAGAAACAAAGAAGATAGCACTAATCTCTTATGTAATATCAATCCTCCTATATGACAATAGATACTGGACAATCTCCTCACAGATGAAAAAAAGACTTGAAGCAACAGAAGTGTCGTTCTACAGAAGGATGCCGAGAATGCTGTGAACAGAACATGTGAGAAACGACGGAGTGCTAAAGACAATGGCAACAAAAATGACACTACTACTTAACATTAGGAAGAGATAGTCGAAATTGCTGCAGTAGATAATGAGGACAGAAGGCTTGGTAAATTTGATACTCATAGGATGGATTGAAGTTGAAAGCAACGCATAACCTACCCTGTGAGCTTGAGAGCGGAGAAGGGCTTTGGGAGAGATGACAAAAAGACAAAAGTTATCAAGAGCTACAAACGATAGGGAGTTGTGGAGAGCCATGATCACCAACGTCCAGAAGGGACACGGCATGTAAAGGAAATGGTTCTTGCTGCCAATAAATCAAGAAGGTCCAACGCAAAAGATGGTGGTTAGAAATTAGCCCATTAATACCCAACGTAAAATCTGGTACGTTTTCACCAGCCCACGAACTTTTTTTATGGGAACACTACAAAGATCATTTTTATAGCAGAAAATCATCAATAATACATCAAATAAAAATAATGTAATGGAATAACCAGTCACCCCCATGAATGATTACACTATAGGTAGTAAGTATCTATAAAGTCCACTGTCTACGAGAGACAGAGGGGGAGGAGTGAGACGACGCAAGCACCTCCGACTTTCCAATTCGTGGCACTCACTACTAGTGTGTATAACTCTACCGTATTTCATATTGTACTTGCTGTGTACAATAAACCTTTCTTCTAGGATCCATCTGGTGTTATGTGTTTATTCCCTTAGAACGGAATATAACAAAAAGCAACCATTGGAAGAAAATATCTTCGATTTCAAGTAATGTAATGCCTGATGTATGGCCTGTTTAAGTGAATCGCGTTTTCAGCGGTGTATAGACAAGAATGGTTATCATTTGCTATATTTCAAAATAATTGTGAATTTGTTTTCTTTGTTTTGAATCATAAACTTGCATCTTAATGGACATTGTATGAATAAATATTCCAAATGATCATAATAGCATTAAGTTTTTATTTGATTCATATATGATCAAGGGTTATGGTTTTTCTAAATTCAGAATAATTCCAACTTGTCTCTATCGCGATTTTTATAGTTTCAAACGATGAATTGAAATGACTTCAGCCATGTTCTGATATAAAGAAGAAGACATCAAAAGAAATCTATGAGTGTTGATTAAAGGGAAAAAAAAGAAAGAAAGGTAGTGATGACTTCTGGTGACTCGGTTTAGATCATACTTATTATAAAACCCAGGTTGTGTGTGTGCCTGTACGTTTATATATTGGATCGGATTTCCTACATTTTCCAACCGATTTCAACAAAACTTCACAGGATTACGTAAAATTAGCTTGCGATGGTTCTGACAGCGCTAAAATTGAAAAAACACAATTGTTTTTGCACAAAATCAATTTGAAACAGGCATCGCTGTCTCGAGAATAAAAGGGGAACAACTCATATCGAATTATACTTATTATAAAACCCAGGTTGTTTTGTGTGTGTGTGCGCGCGCGTGTGTGTGTGTGTGTGTGTGTGTGTGTGTGTGTGTGTGTGTGTGTGTGTGTGTGTGTGTGTGTGTGTGTTCTCTATATATGGGATCGGATTTCCTATATTTTTCAACCGATTTCAATAAAACTTCACTTTTTTTTGGCAGGTAGTGTTTCTTATTGTCTTGCACACTTTTTTCTTTATTTTACATTCAGAATGCTTTAAAAATTCCATTTACAAGACAATTGTTTATACTAAAATTCTATTCAATCGGTAGATCCATAAATATTGAAAACAATGTTTTTGTTTGAGTTTGGGTTAGACCAATTCGTAAAAAAAAAAAATAATAATTAAGACATGCGTGTCCGTCAACCTTAAACAATAATCTTTGTCAATTTTATTTTTCAGTCTTCATGATGGTCAATACTTGATCTATCTCTTACTGTTACATCTCCGGGCAACGCCGGGCTCTACTGCTAGTATTTTATATAATAATATTACAATTATTCTGAATCTGATGAAAAATAAATAAATTAACAAAATTCTAAAAACAGATTGAAAACGCTGCCATAAGTGTTAATACATTAATTACATTTTACTCATTATCGTCCATTTTAATGCTATAATTATCAGCAGCAGCAATAACATCATCATCACAATCATATTAGCAACAATCACAACAATTATAAGGTTTGGCCATCGATTTATGAAACCTAGATTTATCTTGAAAAAGATAAATGATATGGAATATTGTGTTATATTGGTCTTCAGAGTTAGACGAACTTGCTCGTTTTGAAAATCTTGATTTTTCATTGAGAAAAGAATATCACGCTCACAGGTCATATGTTTCTCACTCGTACTAAGTGATATCCTAGTTATATATACATTGTTTGTATGTTTTTCTATTTTTTTTCTATACGATATTTCCATAAAATAATACTAAATTTCTACCTAACCAGAATATGACAAGTCACTCTCTTTCTGTGTGTGTATGGGTTTAACGCATTCTTTTTTCATTCTTTCTTTCTTTTTCCCTCTAGTTATTTCTCTTTCTTTCTTTATTTTTTCTTCACTCTTTATATCTCCCTATTTCTTTCTTCTTTTACATATTTTATTTTTCTCTCTCTCTCTCTCTTTCTTTTATCTCTGTCTCTTTCTTTTTCATACTCCCATCCTCCTCTCTCTCTCTCTTTCTCTTTCTCTCTCTAGTTCTCCCCTGCTCTTTCTCTCTCTCTCTCTCTCTCTCTCTCTCTCTCTCTCTCTCTCTCTCTCTCAATCTCTCTCTTTCGCTTTCTCGCACTGTTTCTCTCTGTAGGCATGTATGTGTGTGTGTTCAAAAGATAACACTGTCATAGTCATGCAACGCCAACTTTGGTCACTGACAGAATATAATGAAAATATGACTAGAATTTAAACCAAACACGTCATTTCATTTTCACTGCCAAACTAATTAGATGAAAGTTTCATTTTTATTTCTTTTTTTCTATCTTTTTTTTTTCTTTTGTGGACTGGGAATGTCGTTACAAAAATACAAAAACGAAATTTATAAAGTAAAAAAAGTTACTATGTGACTGCAAGTAAAACTTTCATTTTCAAGTGAACGACTTTTTTTAACGTTTCACTTGCAAACAGGAAACCTATCATCAGATTTATAAAAGAGTATAAGACAAATATTATGAAAATATTTGCAATTCGACTGATTTTAGAAACTCAATCAATAGTTGCAGCTTCACAAATCTGAGTTTGTTTTTTCTTTCATTTGGGTTCGAACGTGAATCACCATGATTATATGGAATTACGCAACTCGTTCAGACGATAACCAATCCCCACCACCCGCCAAAAAAATAAAACCATGGCACAATTTTTGCTGACGGTGCTCAGCTTAATAAGAATAAAACCGTAGTTGTGTTTCATGAATAACTGACATATCCATTCTAAAAATATTCTATTATTGCTGACCTAAAAATCTTCAAAGTTCATATTCGTTTGGCAATAAATCCATTAGAAATGAAATATTTTTCGAGAAAAAAAAGGGGAATTTAAGCGAAAAAAAAGATCAAAGAAAAATCCAGACATATGATATTGTGGGTTTATACTGACAAAAGAAAAATATGAAAATTTTCTTCACAATGTTTTCCCCTTTTGTCTGCCTCTGTTGTTTTTCTCTCTTCTTATTCGAGAAGATGTTTGCTTTCTGATTGAACGCAATTTGAATGTCATCATATTTGTCAGTAACGTGCAAAATTCGCGTATTTATAATGGCGGGGATAGAGACAAGTAAAAAAAGAACGGAAAGTTCTTACACTTAATTCCTACCAGAAGAAAACGCCCAAATATACAGAGTATGGCGTCACAGGAAATGGACCTAATCTGGAGACGAATTGATTAAAAATAAAATTTCTAAAATACTATTGTACTAAGTAATTTATATTTTGGTGTCATTTTCGACATGAAAAAAGAATAACATTAAAAACTGAAATTTGATATTAAAGGGTGTTTCATTAAGACTGATCAAAGTCAGCAGGAAATAAAACAGTGTTATTGGTGAAAATTTATTTATTTCTCTATTCGATCATGTTATTTAAGTCATGGTAATTATGTGTGAAAAATAATATCGCACAAATGTCTGCCAAGGCTTCGGCGGCACACCTCTACTCGATGGTCAAACTTTTTGATGACGTCTCTACTCGATCCCACCAATATGACTTATCATCTCCTCTTTCAGCTGTTGTATTGTTGTTAACTCGTTGGCATAGACCTTACTTTTGAGATGACCCCAAAGGAAGAAATATAAAGGTGCCAAGTCGCACGTTCTTGGTGGCCAATTGACTTCACTGTTTCGAGAGATGATGCGACCTGAGAAATTCTCATTCAAATTCCGTTTGAACGTCTATATTTGTAATAGATTTTGATAACTTTAACACGTTGTTTGATGGTTAATCTTTCCATGGTTGAAATTTCCAAAGACTTAAGTTGTTAAGTCTGAAAGAAAAACAAAAAAATCATTAGACGCTTAAACTTAATTCACATTTAAAATCGGTCCACGTTATTGAAACACCATTAGATTGTTCGGAAAATAATGTCCGATTTAAAAACCACTTTTTATTCTTGAGTTAATGTATTTAAACAGTTTTTAAATCGGTCAAAATAAGAAGTCATCGATTTACAAGGTTATTTATGCCTATACGATAAAACTCTAAGGGTTTTGGATGTCGATAATTCTTTGAATGTAGTTTCTGCATTTTCTTTGCAGCAGAATGTCTTTTGGCATAGAAAATTGTTGAAATGCTTGAAAAAGTGGTAGTCAGTGGATGAGAGATCAGGAGAATATAGCGGATGTGGCAAAGTCTTGTATTCCAAATCGATTGGTTTCTGCAGTATCATCCTGGCAACGTATGGCCGATTATTGTGTTAACGCAGGACTGGACCTCGTCAATTAACGAGCACCGGACGCATGTTGCTTAACTGAATGTGCATTCTCATACGGTTGTTAGTGTATATTATTCTCGCCCCGAAATTCTCTTTTCTGGCCATAAGTGCTCAAAGACTATAAATGAGATTGAACGATTCTTTGTTGTATTTACCATTTTTTATGCGAAAAGTCGAGATTTTTGATAAGATTCTTGAATTTTGAGTATTCTGTTGCAACACGGGATATGTCAACAAATATCATGAGATGTGACGTACGTGCATTAATGTGCTGAACTACGTCACAGATATCACCCTAACCAAGTACAAATTGTCACATTGTGTGTATAAAACAGAGGATATTAAGTTATATTTCAAAGAAAAAAAAACACTCAACAAGTTGGAAATACACATCGTATTTTTTATATGTTTGATAGGATCATTTGACGGCCACAACTTCCGTAAAAATGGAAAAAAAGAAGAATGTGACGGTGCCTTTAAATTGGTCGGTAAATAGACGAATCAGCAATTACCAAGAAGGCGAGATTTCCTGTTAAAAGTGGAAATTTTGCTTCAAAGTTTTTTCAGCGTGAAAAAGCCACGTAAGAATAAATTAGTTTGTAACTGGGAAGTCTCGCTCACTCACTTCTTCTTCGACACTGGTAATTAGTTGTCAAACTTTTTCTATTGACGACAATAAAAGTAGATAATACTTAGTATATGCGCTGTGCTATTTAATACTACAGAAAAAAACCTTTCTCCTGGTGAAAAGTCAGCTGATTTGATTTTCAGTAAGAGACTGTGTGACTTTGATGTAAGGACTTGAAGTCAGCCGTGGAGACTCGACTTATTATGGAACAAGGACTGTGGTCGCTAAACACCATTTCGAGTTGCATACTTATTCATGTATAATATTGTGAATATATAATACCAATATCCAACCAACCCTGGAAGGACAAGGACATTCTCATAAGAGAAAACAAGAGATATAAACGGATTTAAAAGAGAATTCACTATTCACTATTATCATAATGAAAACATTCAAATTTCTTGAAAAACTTTCATAGTTATCTGCACTTTTTATTTTAATTCATGTCTTTATATGATTTCTTACCCTCAGGTTATGATCAAAGGATGATTTTCAGTTTTTATTGAATTATTTTTACGACGTTTTATTTACCATTCTGTCTCTCTTTTATTTCTCTTTCTTGATTTTCTTTCTTTTTGTTACGTTTTTCTTATTTTTTTCCTTCGTTTCTGTTTTAACTTCAGCCATTTTTTTATATATTCTTTCTAATGTTTCGTTTATTTCCTTTTAGTTTTTCAATCTAAATAAAACGCCCCTTTCTTTTCCTTTTATTTTTCATTCTTTCTTTCCCTTGTTTTCTCGTTCTTTCTTTATCCTACTTTCTCGTTCGTTTTTCTTTCTCTGCTTTCTTCTTCGTTTCTTTCTTTATTCTATTTTCTCGTTCGTTTTTATTTCTCCTGCTTTCTTTCATTGTTTCTCCTGTTTTCTCCTTCGTTTCTTTCTTTCTTCTGCTTTCTTCTTCGTTTCTTTCTTTATTTCCCCTGATTTCTCACACGTTTCTTCCTTTCTCCTTCTTTCTCGTTCTGACTTTTTAAACTTATTTAGATATATCGTCTATATATATACATATATCTACCTACACGCACCCAGGCACTGATCGTTAAAAAATTGCGAGATTATCTTATAAACTATTACTGAATGTCAGGCAACTAAATATATATGTGTGTACGTGCTGCATATTAAAACGGAGTTGATATATATATATATATATATATATATATATATATATATATATATATATATATATATATATATATATATATATATAAAGAACAGTAAGATATATAATCGGTGTTCTTATAGATATTTTTATTTTTTACAAAATATTGCTCAATGTAAATTTACAGAGCAGTAATATTATAAATTAATTGATTTAAAATATGTTTTTTCGCTACACAGTTCTAACCATGTTTCAAAAATGGAAGCTAAAAGCTTTGAATTTAATTTTGTAATTAAATTAAAGACATTAGTTTCATTTCATCCTCAAGCGAATTTTGGAGTAACTGGGTTGCTGGGTTTTAAAGGCACAGCAAAAAATCATAATTCACGTTTCCAAGGATACAGAGAAACCCATTCATCTAGACAAGGGGTGTCTGGGTGTTCATTATGTCTGTATTTTGATGTATCCGTTATTAGTTACGTTTTAGTAGGGGCAGGGATGTATTTTTCAATGAATTCTGACATCCGTTAAATGCATGTTTAAAAAATGTATTGTTAACGGCAAAAATACTTACGGCACTTTTTTCTATTTGTATACGTAAAGATTTTTGCTGGGTGTTTAGGTTAGAATACGTTTTATTTAACTACGATTTAAAAAAAAAATTCACTTTTAATTTTTAATATACTATATTTCTTTTTAAAACAAGTAAATGTATTAGAATCACTTACAGTATGTAAAATTATTTTCACATGATATATATATATATATATACGTTTCATTAAATAATATAGACAAGTGTTGTCTATTTATTTTATGTCAAATTTGTTCGTAACATCTATATTATTTAATGAAACATGTATAAATGAAAATATGCTGCCTAAATACACATATATATATATATATATATATATATATATATATATATATATATATATATATACCCTATGGTCAGTATTTAGATGGGAGCCGTTTGGGAAAACAGGGTGTTATAAGCAGTAGGGGATTAAACTCCGACGAAATTCCACATTTGAAAGGCGAGTAGGTGTTTAAAGATAGTGGTATGTACATCAACAGACTTGTTTCGTATCACATATTGGTGGACGAACATCACTGTCAGCAGCAAATGGATACTGTCGCTAAAACATAAGACATTGCAAAC